GATTTAGTGTCACTTGACTGGACTGGATGCCATTATTGTTATTTGGTTTCTTAGATAGTTTTTTTCGTGTTTTGAATAAAATAAGCTTCATAAAGGTTGAAATTTGCTTAGCTGGTTCTTTCGAGTATCGAGATAAACAATAACTTAAAATTAGCTTTTAAAGTTATATTTAATTATTTTCTTAGTAAGTTAATATATACTAAAAATGAAATAATATTCATAAATGAGAAAACCTATTCCAATTATTGCCATATTATAATTATTTGTTTCTATAACTTTACTGGATATTTTTAGGTATCCAATTAAAAATTATTTTATTTTTACTTTAATCGAGTTACATAATGAACATAGCTTTAACCTTGACTTTTTCACAAATCTTGCTATTTGTTTTTATGCTCTTCAGTCAAGGTACTTTACAAATAGATTCAACTGTGATGGCGTTTCTAATTTTTTAACATTTGGCCAGTACACATTTACTATACACGCTTTGTAGATTAAGTACGTTTAGTTATATCCATATGTGACCTACATATCTGTCCCCATGTCTCATTCATAAATGCATAACGAGTTCATGTTTTATGCACTTATACATTATTCATAATATCTCAGACCTCGTAAAGAGACACACACACACACACAAAACTTTATATTTTAAAGGATATACAGAGTGTCCCAGAAATAAGTGCAGCTATTTTAAGTGGTGGTAGATCTGGTCAAAAGAAACATCTGTTCTCTTTACAATTTTTAAAATAAATTGAAAATAATCGAGTTATTTAACTGTGAAATTTTAAAAAGACACATTTTGAGAACCGCTGGCGATAGCCGGATATTAAGGTTTTTCAAGAGGTTTGTCAGCTTATTCGACGCCTCAAGTGAATAAACAAGTAGCACTATAAAGTTTTTTAAAATTTCCCGCCAAATGTCAAGAAAAATATAAAATTTTCATCAATTTTTTTGACAAAAAAACCTCATAGACGTGTTTGTTTGGCCGAAATATACTACCAGTTAAAATATTTGCACATATTTCTGGGACACACTGTATAGTTTGGACAAAAGTTGGACAGTTAGTTACGAGTGAAACATCACGATTATTTTTTTTTATTTTGGTGACATTGTATTATTACGCGACTGATAATTTTTCCCATATATGTTTGTCTTATTTCAGAGATAAATTATGTGCGAATTAAGCCCAGTTCTGACGACACGTCTAAAGAACCAATGAGATTTGTACAAAATTCTGTCAAAACAGCTGTCAATTTTTAATTTAGCACAGCTCTCATTGGTTGTTTGAGGTGTCAAACAGTGTCGCCAACGACAGAACGTAGTTCTGAAAACGGGGCTTTAGAATTGGTTTTATTTAAGAAACGTCTACGTGTAAAAATTTTACGCAATTTCCGTATTATATTGTTATAATTTGTATCTTGCACTGCAACCATCAATTCCAAGTTGGTCAAAGAATGTCTAGAGAAGCTCAACAAATTAGGCAAAAATAATAAAGTCCTCCTACTCTAGGTGCCAACCCACCAAGGGATAGAAGGCAATGAAAGAACAAACGATCTAGATAGAAAAGGAGCGAACACTCCACTAACTGGACCAGAACCGTTCTGCTTTCCAAGCGGAAACCAACTTAAAGAGGAATTCAAGAACCTGGAAGACCCCTTCCGTAACCTTGTTTCTGAATATGAGTATTAAGTATATTATATTTTTCAAAAGGACATAACAAAAAACCAAAAAAAAATATAAGTTTGGGTCATATTTCAAGAATGACATCTCCCAGCAAAAAACACGTTGTAGAATGTAGAATGTTTAGGAGGGGAGTTAATCACCGCGACCTTATAGATCTATTGTATGTTCCCCTTTCCTGAGTTATAACGAGTTATAACTCATCATACAGTCTCAGGGCTTTAACAAAAGCAGGTATCTGAGACGGCTCCACAGAGGCCAGCTCTCCATCCTCGACATCAGACGTACCAAAGTTCATGGCACGAAAGGTCGTCGTCTTGGCGCACTCAGTAATAAGGTGTTGTGGTGTTTCCCCATTTTTCCCACAGAATCTGCATTCGCCGTTGTTTCTCAGCTTCAGCCTACTGAGGTATTCGTTGAGGAGACAGTCTCCTGTTAGAAACCCCGTGACAATCCGAAGATTGTTTTTACTTAAATCAAGGAAAACCTTTGATATTTCTCGGTCGTAAGTTCTGAGGAACTTTTTCGAATGTCTTAGACCGTTGGAGGACACCCATTCCAAGTTACGGATGGAGTCTTCCAGATTCTTCAGTTCCGCTTTCAGTTGGTTCCCGTTTGGAAAACAGAACGGTTCTGATCCAGTTAGTGGAGTGTTCGCTCCTTTCCTAGCTAGATCATTTGCTTTTTCATTGCCTTCTATCCCTTGGTGAGCAGGCACCCAGAGTAGGAGGACTTTATTTTCTTTGCTTAATTTGTGGAGCTTCTCTAGGCATTCTTTAACCAACTTCGAATTGATGGTTACTGAGTTGATCGCGTTAAGTGCTGCTTGACTATCGGATAGGATGGCAATTTTCTGTTTTCGATAGTTCCTATCTAAGATAAATTGTACGCATCTTTCGATAGCGTAAATTTCTGCCTGAATTGCCCATTGGTTCTGAGTATTTAGTTTTCGGCCCAAATACTCCTATCCCTGTCCCTGCTTTGGTTTTCGAAGCATCAGTATACCACGTGATGGTATAGTCTTTTATATGCTGAGTAAGCGTTTCTTTCTTCCAATCCTTTTTATTACTCAATTCTACAGTGAGGTGTTTCTCAAAGTTGTAAATTCTTGGTATGTCATCCACTGGGAGTTGGAGAAGTGGAATTTTCTTTTTGAGGGCCCCTGACATGAAAATTCTCCCAGTACTGTTTCCGTCAATGACCATTCTTGTCGCATTGGCATAACTACCGACGACAATATGCAGTGGTGTTAGGTCTAGAATGGCCTCCATGTTAACACGTTACACCACTGGATTCCACGTGAAAATATTTATGAGACTAAGTTTTCACCTTTTAGATAAGTTATAAGATAAACAAAATACAGAGGGGGTCGCAAAATGTAATATTTTCAAATTTGCCCTCTATTTTATGAACCAAGGGACCTAGGACAAATTTGTGTGTAGCATCTTAGATTAGATTAGATTTCTAGAGATGATCCATTGCGACCTTCTCAGATCTAATGTGGTCGGGTAGCATCTTTGGAGAATGTAGAATGAGTGGAAGGGAGGTTAATCACCGCGAACTTAAAGATCTATTGCGTTTCCATTTTTTGAGTTATAACTCAGACATGGCAGTGCACTCTATTATAGTGGACAGCAAACTGCAGGAAAGAGGATCAATATAAAAAGACTCAGGGCAAAAACAGGTATAACATTTATTAGAGAACTTCAATACGCTGATGCCTGCACTCTATGTGCTAAAACGTTACAGCAATTACAAGAAATGTTAAACACATTATACCTGGGCATACGAGGCTTTGGGCCTAAAGCCGAACATCGATAAAACTAAAATCATGTGCACTCCCCCGGAAAATCATAACAATGCTATAAAAATCGGAGAAAAACTGTTGGAATATGTGTAGCGGAATTCAATTACCCCGGCAGCTTGATTTCGGAAAAGACTCTGAAATTCAGCACAGAATTAGCAGCGCCTCAAGAGCATTCTGGAAATTAAAACCGCAAGAAAACCGCCTACCGAAATCTCTTCTTAACGGTGAGCTTGCAGACGAGATGGTGAGAGAAAACCGGGTGGCCAACTAAAAACGTACAAGGATATTTTTTTATAAAAACTAAAGGGGAATAAGCATGCAGAATCAGTGGAAGTAAGCAGCGCACAATTGCTGTTCTCCATTCGCGAATTTCAAGTTCCAGAGCTTTACACCCTGAGCTACTCGAGAACGATTCTGAAAGGAGCTGTGCGTGATAATAATAGTTGTCTTATCTGGCATTTATATCGTCAGTAGATCATCATAAAGTACGTTCCAGAGCATAGGTCCATTTTTTAAGCTAGTCAGAGTCAGAGTGTCATATGTTATAGTACGGTAATAGAGTGGATAATGGTAAATCATTCTCAATCTTGCCATATGGTTCTTCTTTCTATTTCTCTTTCCGTTAATTCAATCAAGTATATTACTTCGAAATCGATATATTCTTCCATTTCTTTCTCAGCAGTCTCTACCATTCATGAATGTTCATCTCCATTTAGTAAATTATAATTATGGGAATATATAAGTAAGTTTCTCAGTCCTTTTCACGATAAGCTTGTTTCTTCTTGGCCGATGGACAAATCCATAAGTACTAAAGGTTTTTTCTGTTGTGACTGTTTACGATGGTAAATTTAAATTTTCTATAGTCAACATACTTATTTTAGGGCCAAAAATATTACCGCTAATTTTGTATTGTGCCAGTCAGTGCTTCCATAACGAGATTTACTTGTGAAAAATACTTTGGATACCTTGTAATTTCACAGATGAACTCCTATCAATCAACAGCTTCAGTTCAGTCAATTCACAGCAATTCAGCTGCACAACTGCGTGAATGGAGGACAGTAAATAGAACGCAGTGGAGAAGAATTGTAAACTCGGTTAACAACGACAACAAGGTAATGAAATTTTTGAATGTCCGGAGTGCGGAAGGGAAATAACATCACGTATCAGGCTTGTCAGTTACAGAAAATCTGATGAAAAAGAAACGCTTGGTGCAACCATCTTCAGATGCATGTCAAATATTCGTCAGCCAGTAATGGCAGTAAGTGAGTGTGGGTATTCGGCTTTACAAAAAAAACTCCGTTTCTCCCGGACTATTTCTAGACGCTCCTGCGTATACCCGGATCGCCGCGCCGTCATCTCCCACCACTCGCTCTCTTCGGCATCCTCCGGGCCGGAACGCCGCCGCCGCCACCGGCGCGCCGCCTCCAGTATCGAGCGGAACGCGCGACGATCAACCCATATACGCGGTCGCACAACGACACACAAAATCTACCGGCAGATCTCGCGTTATCATGATAACAACAGACCAAGTCGAATAAAGTGCCATGAGCGCGCCCCAAAGAGACCCGGGGGAGTCGGGGGACGACTCCCCCGCGTCCGGAAAGCGACTCAAGGAGACGGTGAGCTTCTACGAAAAAGTGTGGACGGGCAGGGCCGGTCCCGGAGGCGAGGGTATCGCGATGGACGTGGACCAGCTGGAAAGGCGGCTGGCCGAGGAGAGGGCCAGGCACCTGGAGGCTGTGAGGGGCGAAAGTAGCCCCACGCCGACGTCCCTGAGGAAGGTGACGAGGAAGGAGGAGAGTCGAACGGGTCCAGAAGAGAGCTTTCAGGCAGGATACTTTTTTTTAATGTTTTTAAAAAAACTGTGGTTCTTATTTTCGGGTTGGAGATAATGTGCGATGAGAGAGTTATCAGCGCTAAATATTAGTTTTGGTGAATGGCCGTTAAAATTAAGTGGTAATGAATATTTTAATATTAATTATTCACAATCCAAATTATTTGAAGTGAGCGAAGTAAAGCCACGCAATTGAAAAATTTAAAGAGAAAATGTAGGATTTAAAAAAAGAATGGTTTATCATTTTACTGACTTATCTTTTTCCTTATATTGTCGTTTTATCATAACATTTCTGGACTTCAACAACTAACTTTTAAATGACACTTTCGTACTGTATGATCGAACAAAAAAAAACGGCGTCAAAGACGGCTGGGGAATGACAATCGATGATAATTTTGGCGAGGTCAATCTCTAGACGTTATTTACTAAAAATTGGCATAAAACGTCTCAAAAATTAATACTAATTATAGAAAGATTGAAAGGGAAGAACGTTTCCAGAAACACAAATCTATTTCCCAAAAAAATATTTTTTTTCAAACGTCACAAAAGTATTAATTTTTGCGACGTGATTGACAATACAAAAAAGTCATTTTAACACCTAGGCATAAAAGTAAAGCACTTTTACGCCTAAGCACAAAAGTACGAAAATATGTACCTATATTATTAAACTGACATAAAGAAAGTGCCAAATTCAGCGAGCGTAACCATAGTTTCTCGAAATATAGTTACATAGAAGTTATGATTTTTAAATCTTTTTATATTATTTGGAACGTTTGAAATTATTTAAAAAATTATTTGTGGCGTTTGAAAAAAAATTGCATGTTCTATTCGGAGTAAAAATTACTTTTTGTGCCTCGGCTGTAGTCAAACGTACAGCTGAAAAAGAAAAAGTGTCATTTTTACTCCTAATAAAACAATATACTATTTTCTCCAATTTTTAACTACACCATTTAAAAATAATTTTTTACTCAATAAAAATAATTATAACCTTCTTAAAGAAGAGTCCCGGCTAAGTAAATGACAAGTAGGGCTTGACCTCGCCAACATTATCATCGATTGTCATCCCCTGCCCACTTTTTTTTCGTATGGTATTAAATGGGGCCGTAAACTCTGCGTTTTACAAATTCTTATGAATGAAATAAGACTGAGTTAAGAGTAATACACGCAATTAATAGTAATTTTTTATACAAGACGATAAAATGGTATTTTATCGTCTGCAAAGGTATTTTATCGTCGACCAAAAAGATTAATTCACGAGCGATGAAATCGCCAGTGAAATAATTTCGGGAGACCATAATGCAATTTTATCGTCTTGTATAAAACAATATTTTTTTCCACAGCGAGTTACGTTTTAAAATACTATATTATTCAGAAATTATTATTTCAAGGAATTTATTACGAGTAGAAAAAATATTGTTCTTGGTTTGCGTTGGTTTCTATGTAATTTGACAAATAAATAAAGCTGTCTCTTTAGTTGTCAGTTTTGAGTCAATATTTTTTAATTCTCTTTCGTGTTGATTGTTGATTGAATTGGAGCCAGAAATGGCTCAAAACGAAATAAGTAAATTACCAACAGATATTCAGGCTGAGGCGACAAACGCCATATCCAAACTACTTCCATTTAAATTCCGAATAACTTATGAAAAGCAATACAAAAATTTTCGAAAATGAAAGCAATTAAAAAACGTGCGAGAAGAAATAAAGTTTTTAACCTATCCTCGCTGTTAAAGTATCATTTAATCTACCCTTGCGGTTAAAGTACTATTTAATCTACTATGTTTGATAGATATAAGGCAATTTTAACAGTTGCTATGGAAAAAAATAATTTAAATTTCACTAACTTATTTTTTTCTTTATTGTCTTTTACCATTATTACATTTTGTGTCGTTCAAGACTTCAATAATCGATAGAAGAATATCTTTAAAATGACACTGTAATGTAATGTCAAATCATTGTCAAATGTAATAAGCTGTAAATATACTGCGTCTTAAAAATTCCTTATAATGGAACTTCCAAAATGATAATAATATTGACATAAAACTTGATTGAGTTGGGATAATTTTTTAAAACCGATTTTTTTTAGCGATGAGATACCTGTAATGAGAAAAAGATGTATTTTAATATGTAGTTCAAAAATAAATGCTTAAAATATTAGGATAAACGATTTTGCAATATATTTAATATTTATGTAAAGTCTACAAAAAAAATAATCATCTTAAAAAAATATAGGATTTCGAAGTAATTCTATACTTCAAATGATAGCTGATCATTATTTTAAGGATCAGCTGATCATTCATTTCATGTACTGAGACTGACCCCTCTCCCTTGTGTGATTTTGGTGAAAACCTAAGTTTTAGCTTATAATTAATGAAACATTTTAATACTTCTAAATATACTGTCACTGTTAACCAGAGTCTCCTGAGAAGTGAACTCCAGAAATACAATAGTAAAATGTCCATAATAGAAAACTTTGCTTTAAGGGTTGACCGGCACCAATGCCTATTTATTATAGGCCTATTAAGTCTAGTTCCAAGAATGGAATATGACACTTTATTTATTCATTCTTTTTAATCATTTTGATGTATCTGAAAATTAATTTTCTTTAAATCACAAGAGAGTTATACCATAAGTAAGATTATACCATATCATCAAAAAAAAACGGCGTGAGAGGTGGCTTAAAAATGAAGATTGCTGTCATTTTATATGTAAAACTAGCGTGTACCAGCGACTTTGTTCGCGTCGAATTAATCAAATGTAATGGTGATGATAAAGCAAAGCAAGAATTTCCATTAACATACAAACTGGATAAAATTTTCTCACATTTATGTCAGCATGAGAAAAAATATTATTATATAACTTGGTAATATTTGAGGGGTAGTTTCGTCTCGTTGGAATTTGACTTTCGAAAAATCCGTTTGCCAAAAATAAGCTTTTTACGTCAAGCAGTTTAAGCAGAATCGTGGTTAAGAAATTACCCAACTTTTTGGAACACCCTGTATGATTTTATAAAAAATTTCAAAATATGTAAAAAACCAAATAAATTATGCTTGTCAACGCGTTTTCCCGAAAGACTAACCGTTTTTTAAATAACAAATATTGTAATATTTGAGGGGCGTTTTCACCCTCTTGGAATTTGAGATTCGAGAAACCCCTCCTTATCGAACCTCTACACCCCACAGTCAATCCGTTTGCGAAAAATCAGCTTTAAACGTCAAGCAGTTTAAGCAGAATCGTGATTACTCAATGGTCATATTTTATGAAACATCCTGTATAAATTTATAAAAAATCTTAAAATATGTAAAACAACAAAATAAAATATAAGTGTTTAAGAGTTTTTCCGAAAAACTCACCGGTTTTTAAATAAAAAATATTTTAATATTTGAGGGATAGTTTCACCCCCTTAGAATTTGAGTTTCGAAAAATCTCTTTTTATCGAACCTCTACACCCTAAAGTCAATCTGTTTTCCAAAAATCAGCTTTTTACGTCAAGCGCTTTAAGCACGATCGTGATTAATCAATGACCAGATTTTTCGAAACACCCTGTATACATTTTTAAAAAATCTTAAAATACGTAAAAAAACAAAATAAAATATACGTGTTTAAGCATTTTTTCGGAAACTTGACCGTTTTTTAAATAAAAAATATTGTAATATTTGAGGAGTGGTTTCACCCTCTTGGAACTGGAATTTCGAAAAATCCCTTCTTATCGGTTTGAGCAGGATCGCGTGATTAATCACTATGTCAGTCACTTAAGGATTTTATATATTAGTATAGATTACATGGGTAATGACACAGATCGTCATTTCGAAGCCTACTGGGCGCGATTTTCGATCCCACGGTACTTTATCCAACTCAAATATTGAAAAAAATAAAAATTTTAATAAATCTCTAATTACATAAAATTTTAATAAATATCTTTAATTAAAAATTTACTTAATACATAATAATATTTATTTTTTTAATTAATATATATACCGATATCTTACTATTACAACTAAAATATGAAAATTAATTAGGTTTTCGAAAAATATTTCATAAACATTATATTCTTCAAGAGATGTATTAAATTAACACCGCTAAAATATGAAAAATTTAAAATTTATATTATCTTTCAATTATTATTAATCAAAATGGACTTGATAATAATAAGTTTTGTAAGTGAAATATATGTAAGATTACATTTCTAGAAATTCTATAAACTAAAGGTCAAAGTATTGGGTATCCAATTCTTACTTTGTACGGTTTCCGCAATTTACATACATACATATACATGAATTAATTACCATTGATTACATTACCTCATGTCTTTCAATGTTTCAGTCAGCTTTTATATGTCTGTTTTTTAACATTTTCGTAAAAAAGTAATTACCTATGTTATTTTCGATTATTTACCACTTAATTTAGAATTAATTTAGTATTTAATTTATTTGTTTACAGTGGTTAGAAGACAAACACATTTATATATTTAAAATTTTATTAACCTTTTGTTTTAATTATAATTATATCATAAATTGGTTGCAAATTAATATTTCAGACAGGTATAACAATGATTTGCTTCAGTGATGTGGCACTCAGAATTGTTAAGGATTATATCATTTCCCTGACGATTTAGTCAGTAGGTACTGTTTATAATGAATTTTAAATTTCTATACTATATTAAGCTCAAGATACAAAAGTCCACCTAAATCTCAGATAAATAAATAAACATAGAGATACCTAATAAATTCTAATATCACAATATTAAAGTGAAATGCGAAACAAAAATAAGCATTCACACTGCGTGTCCCCATTCTTAGTTAGAGTTATACTCTTAGGTTATACCCCATTTCACTAGGTCGACTTTTACTAGAGCAACGTCGGTCCTAATCCTATTAAGTGTTCTTAAGCTTTTTCAATCCAAGTGGATCCCGTTGCGTTGGTTGGATCTTGATGTAAAGGGAACCTTCTAGTTGTTCTACATTTACAGTGTTTAGGAAACTTCTACGGGATTTCAGT